ACAGTTACCCCCAGTAACACATTTTCTCTTATGTTAGATTAGAGAAAATGTTATTCTTGGCGTCACTTGTACAAGTTATCTGGCTACCACATGTCATATTTATGTTTATTTATTCTATTGTAGGGTGTATTTATCATCTTTTTATGTTATGTATCGTGTTTATTATATAATTTTGAAAAAAATATCATGGATGGATTAATGAAAATGTGTATATTAACGTAATATACAACATTTAATGGACTCGGTGATTATTATTATTATTATTATCATTTCTAATATGGCGTCACTTGTGCAAGTCGTCTGCTACCACATCTCATATTTATGTTTATTTATTCTATTGTGGGGTGTATTTATCATCTTTTTATGTTATGTATCGTGTTTATTATATAATTTTGAAAAAATATCATAGATGGATTAATGAAAATGTGTATTTAACGTAATATACGACATTTAAATGAGACTCGATGATTATTATTATCATTACTAATATGACGTCTGGAGACATAAGACACTCTTACTGATTTTAATGTGTACCTGCATGCCAGCACAGTATGTAAGTTTATTTAAGTACAGGTATACAAGTATAATTATCAGAGTATATATAAAATATGAAATAACTTTTAAAAACATTTGAAATTTTGGAGTTTCCACACAAAATGGAGAGACTTAGTGCTTACTGAGCTCACGAAGAATGTAAACAAACAGGGTGGGGCGCGGTGACCTTATTAGAAAGTCAGGTAGGGGAGCCGTATAGCGAGTTTTGGTCATAATTTGAAATGACCGTATTAGCGGAACGCCGTAAAGTGAAACGCCATAAAGCGGGGCCCTGCTGTATATAGTTTTGGAGTGGTTGGTGTAATTATTTAATAAATGTATGTTAGAGGGTAAGGTACCTAGGGATTGGCAGAGAGCATGCATAGTTCCTTTGTATAAAGGCGAAGGGGACAAAAGAGAGTGCAAGAAATTATAAGGGGATAAGTCTGTTGAGTTATAGGTAGTAGGTTGGTAGACAGCAATCGCCCAGGGAGGTACTACCGTCCTGCCAAGTGAGTGTAAAATGGAAGCTTGTAATTGTTTTACATGATGGTAGGATTGCTGGTGTCCATTTTTCTGTCTCATAAACATGCAAGATTTCAGGTATGTCTTGCTACTTCTACTTACACTTAGGTCACACTACACATACATGTACAAGCATATATACACACAGCCCTCTGGGTTTTCTAATATTTTCTTACTAGTTCTTGTTCTTGTTGTTTATTTTCTCTTACCTCCATGGGAAAGTGGAACAGAATTCTTCCTCCGTAAGCCATGCGTGTTGTAGGAGGCAACTAAAATGCCGGGAGCAAGGGGCTAGTAACCTCTTCTCCTGTATATATTACTAAATGTAAAAGGAGAAACTTTTGTTTTTCCTTTTGGGCCACCCCGCCTCGGTGGGATACGGCTGGTGTGTTGAAAGAAAGAAGAAGTCTGTTGAGTATACCTGGTAAAGTGTATGGTAGAGTTATTATTGAAAGAATTAAGAGTAAGACGGAGAATAGGATAGCAGATGAACAAGGAGGCTTTAGGAAAGGTAGGGGGTGTGTGGACCAGGTGTTTACAGTGAAACATATAAGTGAACAGTATTTAGATAAGGCTAAAGAGGTTTTTGTGGCATTTATGGATTTGGAAAAGGTGCATGACAGGGTGGATAGGGGGGCAATGTGGCAGATGTTGCAGGTGTATGGTGTAGGAGGTAGGTTACTGAAAGCAGTGAAGAGTTTTTACGAGGATAGTGAGGCTCAAGTTAGAGTATGTAGGAAGAGGGAGATTATTTCCCAGTAAAAGTAGGCCTAAGACAAGGATGTGTGATGTCACCGTGGTTGTTTAATATATTTATAGATGGAGTTGTAAGAGAAGTAAATGCGAGGGTCTTGGCAAGAGGCATGGAGTTAAAAGATAAAGAATCACACAAAGTGGGAGTTGTCACAGTTGCTCTTTGCTGATGACACTGTGCTCTTGGGAGATTCTGAAGAGAAGTTGCAGAGGTTGGTGGATGAATTTGGTAGGGTATGCAAAAGAAGAAAATTAAAAGTGAATACAGGAAAGAGTAAGGTTATTTAGGATAACAAAAAGATTAGGTGATGAAAGATTGGATATCAGATTGGAGGGAGAGAGTATGGAGGAGGTGAATGTATTCAGATATTTGGGAGTGGACGTGTCAGCGATGTGGTCTATGAAAGATGAGGTGAATCATAGAATTATGAGGGGAAAAGGGGAGCGGTGCACTTAGAAGTCTGTGGAGACAAAGAACTTTGTCCTTGGAGGCAAAGAGGGGAATGTATGAGAGTATAGTTTTACCAACGCTCTTATATAGGTGTGAAGCATGGGTGATGAATGTTGCAGCGAGGAGAAGGCTGGGGGCAGTGGAGATGTCATGTCTGAGGGCAATGTGTGATGTGAATATAATGCAGAGAATTCGTAGTTTGGAAGTTAGGAGGAGGTGCAGGATTACCAAAACTGTTGTCCAGAGGGCTGAGGAAGGGTTGTTGAGGTGGTTCGGACATGTAGAGAGAATGGAGCGAAACAGAATGACTTCAAGAGTGTATCAGTCTGTAGTGGAAGGAAGGCGGGGTAGGGGTCGGCCTAGGAAAGGTTGGTGGGAGGGAGTAAAGGAGGTTTTGTGTGAGGGGCTTGGACTTCCAGCGGGCATGCGTGAGCATGTTTGATAGGAGTGAATGGAGACAAATAATTTTTAATACTTGACGTGCTGTTGGAGTGTGGGCAAAGTAACATTTATGAAGGGATTCAGGGAAACTGGCAGGCCGGACTTGAGTCCTGGAGATGGGAAGTACAGTGCCTTCACTCTGAAGGAGTGGTGTTAATGTTGCAGTTTAAAAACTGTAGTGTAAAGCACCCTTCTGGCAAGACAGTGATGGAGTGAATGATGGTGAAAGTTTTTCTTTTTCGGGCCACCCTGCCTTGGTGGGAATCGGCTGGTGTGTTAATAATAAAATAATAATATAAAATTATATCCATTCTGTAATACAGTGACAAGAACTGTGCAGCATAATCTAAATGAGGCCTAACCAAGGATCTATAGAGGTGAAGAACAACTTGAGGACTTCTATTATTTCTACTTCTAGATATGAAGCCAAGGATTCTGTTAGCTTTATTGCAAACACTAATGCACTGTTGTCTCGGTTTTAGATTACTGCTAACCAGAACTCCTAAATCCTTTTCCCAATCAGTAGTATTAGGATCTACATTATTTAGTTTATATGTGGAATGATTATTTTCCTGTCCAACATTTAGAACTTTGCATTTGTCTACATTAAACTGCATCTGCCACTTCTCCGACCATTGCATCAGTCTATTCAATTCATCCTGGAGTGCTCTAGTGTCCTCATTAGAATGAACTGGCTGGCCTATTTTTGTGTCATCAGCAAATTTGCTTATGGTGAAAGTTTTTCTTTTTCGGGCCACCCTGCCTTGGTGGGAATTGGCCAGTGTGTTAATAAAATAATAATAAAATTATTCCCTTATCTATGTCGTTTACATAAATTGTGAACAAGGGGCCCAACATTGACCCCTGCAGAACAACTCTTGTGACGTGCCCCCATTCTGATTTCTCCCCATTTATGCAAACTCTCTGCTGCCTATTTGTCAGCCATGCCTCTACTCAGGAAAAAATTTCTCCTCCTATTCCGTGTGCCTTAAGTTTCCTCAATAGCCTGTGATATGGAACTCTATCGAAAGCTTACTGAAGTCCATATACACAATATCATATTCATTACCATGATCTACCTCCTCAAGCACCTTAGTGAAAAAAAATAGTAAATTTGTAAGACAGGAACGCCCCTTTGTAAAACCGTGTTGAGATTCATTAATTAATTTATGCCTTTCAAGATGGCTACAAATTGCTTCGGCAATTATTGATTCCATAAATTTTCCCACTATTGAGGTAAGGCTTATTGGTCTATAGTTTGAGGCTAAGGACCTGTCACCTGCCTTGTAAATAGGTATTACATTTGTCATTTTCCATTTATCAGGCATTATGCCAGTTTGTAGTAATAAGTTGAAAAGATTAGCCAAAGGTATGCTAAGTTCCTCTTTAACACCCTTGCAAACAGTTCATCAGGGCCTGGGGATTTGTTAGGTTTTAATTTCTCTATTTGTCTGAGGATCACGTCACTAGTTACCGCAATCATGCATAGTTCATCGTCCTGTTCTACTTAATCTATTATTTCAGGAATTTTGCTAGTATTTTCCTGGGTAAAAACTGAGAGGAAGTAAGTATTGAAAATTTCACACATATCCTTATCACTGTCAGTGATCTGACCTGAGTTACTCTTAAGTGGGTCTATCTTGTCCCCAATCTTACTCCTGTATACCTGAAAAACCCATTTGGGATCACTTTTGTTAGATCTAATTTCCCTACTCAGAACAAAACTTGTATGGGCAGCTAGAACTATGCTCTGAAAAACATCATATTGGCATCCAAGATCACCTCCTTGACCCATAGTCAAGAAATTTGAGAAAGTGTTAAGGTTTGCAACAAGACTAGTCCTGGAGCTAAGGGGTTTGTCCCATGAAGAGAGGTTAAGGGAAATCAACCTGACAACACTGGAGGACAGGATGGACAGGGACAACATGATAATGACATAAAATGCTGAGAGAAATTGACATGGTGAATAGGGATATGATGTTAGGAAGTATTTCTTCAGCAACAGAGTTGTCAGGAAATGGAACAATCTGGAGAGTGATGTAGTGGAGGCAGAATCCCTACATAGCTTTAAGAAGAGATACAACAAAGCTCATGGAACAGGGAGAGAGTGGACCTAGTAGCAACCAGTGAAATGGCAGGTCCAGAAGCTGTGGCTCAACCCTAACTAGGCGAGTATACAAACACAAACAACACATTCAGCACTCTAAGCATCATACACACTATATTTATACATGTAATAGATAACATCTGGTGAGCACATTATACATTACCACACAGTAGTCAGTAAGAACCTACCTGACAAACGTGCTCCTCCAAATGGTTGTTGAGCTACAACAGATCCAGTAGACTTGTCATTAATGTAGAAGTTACCAGCAGAATCTTTCAAGGCTTCTGTTGCTGCTGTCAACCATGACCTGTTGACAAATTTAATGATTTGAAGTCTTATATTAATGTGTTTGTAACTTAGATTAATTTATTTACTAATATACATGACTACATAGTAATACAGTGGTACCTTGAATTTCGGCCTTAATTCGTTCCAGAAGGCTGTTCGAGTGCCTTTACCGAACAAATTTGTTCCCATAAGGAATAATGTAAATTAGATTAGTCCATTTCAGACCCCCAAAAATACACTTACAAAAACACTTACATAAACCACTGTATTTAAAAAACTGAAATGTTTCAAGATTTTATGTGGTTGGAACATTGTAATAATGTTTGTAGAATTTCCGACAATATGTAAAGTAAAAGGACAAAAGTGCAACCAATGTGACATTTTATTGTGGCAATGTTTTGCTCTCCAGGACCTTTGTCAAGCCATTGCAAACAGTACATGGACACAGAGGGTATATATAGGCTCAGAGTGAGGTGCATTATTATTATTATAATCAAAAAGAAGCGCTAAGCCACAAGGACTATACAGCGCTGCAGGGCAAGAAGGAAGCGGGGCAAATCAGGTGCAAAAGGGAATGATGACAACCTGTTACGGATAACAGCGGGTGGCAGGGGATGTGAAAGGGTAACAGGGCAGCAAGAGACTAACCAGAAAGGCAGAGGGGAGTGGCGAAAAGTTATCATCAGAGTTTGTGGAGTAAATCAGTCGTTGTCAAGAAGTCATGAGAGAGTCAGGATTAAAGGAGGGTCCATCACAAGAAGTGAAAGGTAAAGAGAGATAGGAGAACGAAGACGACGTGGAGTAAATTCTTCTGCGTGCTCGTATGAAGAGAGGGCAGTCTAACAGAAAGAGCTAATCGAATACTGGGAACTATTGAACACTGCCTCACTAGAGAGGAACAAGGGTGCCTCTCCAAGAGATACCCATGAGAAAGACTAGTGTGCCAATGCGAAGGCCGGGAGAGAGTGGTCCTACCCCAACCTCGCACTGATGACAAGAAGACGCCAGTTAACCTAAAGCTCTGTTTAATAGAATGAAGTTATGTTACCGAGCAAGTTGACGCAACGTTGTTGCCAACAGGTTTGCGAAGGTGGGTAGCTATGCAGCAAATAGTCCAGAAATGGAACACCTCGATAGGAAATTGGTAGGATCATCAAACGCTGACCGCGCAGCAGTCTACTGCCTGTTTCATTGCCCTGTACGTCGACATGACCAGGACCCAACAAAAAACAATATTTTATGTTTGGTAGAGATACGGCGTAGCCAAATTGGATACGGAGAACTAGGGGATGAGAAGTATCAAATTCCGAATGAGCCTGAGAGCACAAGGGAGTCTGAGACAACTACAAATGATAACACAGGCATAGATGCGTTACCGAAAAATGCGCAAGAAATGGCATAGCGAGTTCAGCAGTAAAAAATGCTAGCAGAAGATAGTAAATGCCCTCTAACGACGCGGTCCGAAACACTGCTGCGAATCCATATTCCCGACGCCGGCTGAGGAAGACTAGAGCCATCTGTGTACACAAGCGGTGGCATTAGAATGAGAGTGGAAGTGATCAAGAAACAGAGAGCGGGAAGCCACCGTAGCAGTTGAGCTTCGAGCAAGGGAGTGAGAAAGAAACATAACCCGAAAGCTGGAACTTCACCAGGGGGTAGGGAAAAGTGAATGCTACATGGAACATATAAAGGAGGTAACTGAAGGTAAGACAATAGTGAAAAGTAGGCGAAAGAAAAGGGACGGAGCAAAACAGGGGGCGGCGAACGAATAAAGAATGTCTACTAATATCGGTGACCATTCTATAAATGAAGGGATTGTGTTGATCGTGAGAGCGTACATATTAAACGAAGGCAATGGTCATCACGGCGATCAGACAAGGATGTAACATTATCTCTGTATAAGAGGCTCTCAACAGGGGAAGAGCGAAAAGCAACAAGGCATACAAACTAAGCCTTTGATGGATAGAGTTGTGAAAGGCTAGAGAGAGTAGCAGAGAGGCCCGCGGAATAAATCTGGTCACCATAATCGAGTTTCGATAAAACGAGGGCTGAATGTAGGCGAAGCATAGTTCGACGATCCACTCCCCAGGAAAGATGAGCATGGGTTTTTAAGAAGGTTTAGCCGGCTGTGACTAAGTTGCCCTTCAGAGAGGTAATGTAGGTTTCCAGGTTAACCGACGGTCAAAGAGAAGGCTAGAAACCTGACTGTAATCATCGTTCGGGAATACTGAGCCATAAGATACAAAGGATGATCGAGATAACCAGAGCGTCTAGTGAAAGTAATTTGTGATTTTTTGTACTTAAAATTTAAACCCCATTTGTGGTGGCCCAAGTGGCAACACGGCGAACCGCAATGCTGGAGAGAAACTGCAAATAAGGTGACAGTCAGCGCCTTCACAAGCAATCGCGCGTCATCAACATAGAGTGATGACCAAATATTGGGTGAAGAACAGAGGCCAAATCATTTAAGCAAGGAGAAAAAGTGTTGTGCTTAGAAGCACATCCCTGAGGGACAACCTTCAGCTTGGACGAAGTCCGGGGAAGAACATTATTGACTCGAACAACGAAATGTCTGTCATTAAAAAAGTTCTTAAAGGAAGGATGGTAGATTGGGCCTCGGAGGCATAAGGACTGGGTCCTGGGCCAAATATTATACCTCCCAGTTTGTGTCCTATCCTTTCTCCATCAAGGTCCAAAAAATATGGCAATAACTGAGTGTTATGCGCAAAAGGCATTACGAACATACGTAATCCAGTCGTATAAGGTTCTATGGTAGAACGACCCTTACGAAGCCATATTGACTAGCTGGAGAGACTGTTGTGATCTCTAAATCACAACATTAAACGTCGATTTACGAGGCGTTTCCATCACTTTGCAAACTGCACTTGTAAGAGCGATGGGCGTAGTGGGAGGCAATCATGTCCTGTTAGTACCCCAGACGGTGTTGCGGAAAGGGAGAACCATGGCAGATTTCCCCAGCTGGGTAAGAACTCCTTGTGCACCAAATAAGATTGAAGAGGTGTAAGAGACACAAAGGGCTGACCGAATTAAATGTATACCACATCACGCATATGAATTCATCAGGCCCAGCGCCGATGATGCGGCAAGCTGAGAGCGTTGCCTCCAGTTCTTGAAGTGTAAAAAGGCACATTATAATGTTTCTACTCCGAGAGAAAGAACAGTCCAAGGGTACTAACTCTCTGGCAAGACTTTGAGGAAAGAAACGAGGGCATAGAGGAGCCCTCGGGAAATACGGACACAGATGTGATGCCAAGTTATCAATGGCAAACGTCGAGAGGGTTTGCTATAATCAACACCATGACCCCGTAGAAACAGGAGCCGGGTCAGGAGAGTATTTACCTACCACTCCAATTTTCCACACATTTTTCAGACTGCAACTCATAGAAGAAGCAGAGGTGATGGTGAAACATAGTCTCGCCAACAAGTTGCGTTTAGCTTCACGGAGACACGGAGAGCGATCGCACGCTTCTTGACTAAATCAACAAGTCACTCAAGCGGTTCTATTGTACCCGGTACCTGCCCCATGCAGCCCGTTCAACGTACTGCACCGAGCACTAGCAGGAAACCACCAAAGGCATCGCACTTCTGAGAATGCCTGCCTGAGGTTTGGGGTATAGATAGAGAAGCTGCGGTATAAACTGAGATGTCGAGACGATGTTTAGGAGCTTCAACTATGGAGATGAAGAAGGAACCATCACAAAAGCATGAGGTGTGAGTAAAGATCCCAATTTGCCCGATCAAATTGCCAGCGAGGGCTACGGGAAGGTGGGGAAAAGAAGGAGAAGTAAGAATGATCGGAAACTGATCGCTGTCAGTAAGTTCTGGTAGAACAGACCAGTGAAGTCTAGTGCATGTGGAGAAGAGCAGACTGATAGATCGGATGCAAAGAAGAGAGTAAGAGTAACGAGGATGCAAAATGGGGTGGAGTACCCGTATTTAAAACATGGAGGGGTGAGAGGCAAGAAAAGCCACCAACTGAAATGCCACGTGGAGTCACTATGAGACCCCCCCCAGAGAAATGGTGGCATAAAATCACCAATTAACAGAAGTGGTGGTGGTAAGGAGAAACAAGAAAGGCAAAGTCTGGGATAGAACAAATGCTCGAGAAGAGAGAGATATAAATAACATATTGTAAACCACTTATTCAGTGATACGGGCTGCAGTGTAATGCAGGCGAGTATGGACAAATAGTTGACAGAACGGAATATCATTGCGTAGAAGAAGGGCACTTTCATTAAAGGTCGCCATCTGATAAGGATCCAAGAATAATCAATAAATTATAGCCTGCGATTAGTTTGGAAAACAGCCGAGTGTAATTTTGTTCTTGTAAGCAAGCACACGAGGGGAAAACCTGGAAAAGCAACATCTGAAGCTCACCCCGATAAAAACCCCTGAGCCGCGGATAATTTCCACTGAAAAATAGGCCATGATTTGGCGATGATGAAAATAGCAGGAATCTGTAGGTAAAGAGGCATCCTACGACTAGAGGGTTAGAAAAGTCAACGTGTGTGGCATTGAGGAAGATGTTCAAGTAGCGAAGGAACGAAGCCTTGCGAAGAAAATGGGGTTGTAGAAGATGGAGGAGAGGAAGAAAAGAACAGGAAGTGAATCAGTGTCCATTGAGGTTAGTCTCTGCATATATTCTAAATGTGCCTTCAAGTGTTTCTGAATTCATAGATGTATGGGGAAACCAATTGGAGATAGAGGAGAGGTGATAAAGATTGGGACAAGTAAATGGACTGTGACCAAAGTAGAGGGGAGGGAAAAGTGTAAGGGACTGGAGATGAAGTGGGGGGGGACAGAAGAGGGAGAAAACCTGGAGGTGACAGAAGAGGGATAAACTGGAGGGACGGTGTGGAAGGCAAGTACGAGGAGAGGGTGAATCCCCACACTGTAAATAGAGCCAGAGAGAGTGGAAGAACTAGGTACAAGAGACTGGAACGGTAACGTGTGGAGGTGGAAGAAGGGAAGTAAGGGGCAAAGAAGATTTGAGCATAT